TAAAGATCAAGAGTGCAGAAAAAAAGAAACAAAAGGGAAAAAAAAAGAATTGACTTCCAACCCTCCTTGCAACAGATATAAGTAACAACATACAATGGAAGAATGGATGGCAAATGTATTCTTGATCAATTACTCCATTAGAAAAAAAAATGCTTGAATACAAATACCTATTTTAAGTAGCTCAAAAATAGGATATTTTTTGTTTTAGTATGTCTCAATATGTATATATAAGCTCATGAGCACATACAACTACATGTCTATTTTTCACTCCTTCAGCCCAGCGCTGCTTCCACACTTACTGTATATCAGGCATGTACAACATGCACCAGCTGGAGAGCTACTGTAAACTCAGCTTTTTAGCATGTCAAGGGCCAGAGTCTAAAAGTGGGTGGGCCACTTTTATTAGGTTTCTGTTAGCTTTTATGTTATCCATTCATGTTATGGTATTATTTGGCTATACTTTTATTTATGTTTATACTTAAGATGATGATGATGATGATGATGATACTTTCTTTAAGTGAGGAAATGGATGGAAAGACAGAGTGAGAGAGAAATATGCATGGAGGCACGAGAGGTTCTGCAGTGAACACAAAAAGAAGTGGAGAAAAGCGAGGAAAGCAGAAGGCAAGGAAGGGAAGGGCAGCATTTGGGAAAGTAATGCCATGGAGGATGGATAGGAGATGACTTGGAGGTTGGACGTAGGGAGAAGAAGGTAGTATATGGGAGCTACTATTGGCCACATCCAATCCCTGCCATCTGCATGAGGTTTGGTGTCAGGTTTTTGCACTCCTGTTCTAGACTAATAAAGTAGAGCATCTTTGTAAACTTACTTCAAGAGTTTTGCAAGTTTTTTTTTTTTTTTATCCTTTCAAGATCCTAGAAAAATTCCCTATAGAATATGTTTCTGAGTTCTATCCCTGCACTGGGAATGACCACAGAGTTTCACAGGACACGATTAACAGATCTGAAGTGCAAATGAATGAAGAACTCACATAGTAAGAAGCTGTTATTGGCAGCATTGCTTGATATTCATTCTTTACAGGAATGAAGTATTATGAATGTAAGCAGAATAGCCTGGAATCTCTTTCTTCAGGAATATCTCACATATTCAATGTAAGAATCTCAATATAAGAATTCAGTCTTATGAGATGTAAGTTCAAACGCAAGGGTGTCATGGTTAGTAAATGGAGATTGACCCACTCACCTTCAGCAACATCATCATCAACTGTAAGTTTGAGACTCTTTCCTCTGCGTACCACTCGGACTGTGTGCCACTCATTGTCGTTGAGTTTTTGGCCAGCATAAAGGGTCTCAGGTCCCTTACCTGAGGACATCAAATAGAAGCAAGTGTTAAAATCACATCAAAAACATAGCAAAATTTTGCCTGATTGGAAAAGTCACTGAAATCACCTTGGTATGAAAATGCACAAGCTAATTAATTCAGAGGTGGTATAAAGGCAAACACTTAAATATCAAATAAACTTGTACCCTTGGCCCAGTTAAAACTGAAGGTTATTATTCTCTTACAATAATTTTTGTCCTATTTCTGTCTAGACATTTTTTTATATTTCATATTTTATTGTCTAATAGATCTATACCCCAACTTTCCCCTTAGAGTTCAAGCTGGCTTTCATAAGAATCTTCTTTCATTTTGTGTCCACACCAGCCTTGTGAGGTAGACTTGGTTGAGAGAGAGTGACTGGCCCAAAGTCACCACGTGAGTCCCCATGGCTAAGGATGGACTTGAATCTGGATCTCCCTGATCCTAATCAAATACCTTAAACACTACGCCATAATGGCACTCTTACCATTCTTGGATTAAAGTTTATCATGGAAACTAACATGTCAATGTTTAATTTCACTATCAATGGCTCTTCTGTTACTTCTGATAATAATGTATATCAGGTTGCTTTCACCAAGCATGACTTCACATCAGGACAAGCATAAACCACATCAGAACAATTTTATTTTCTTTGTGCCTTGCAACAGGTATCACCTTCATTCCATATTTCTCCCTCTGTTTTATTAGTAAAGTATTTTTGCAGGCCTGCTTTCCACTTAAAACATTTCTCACATATTTTCTAGTAAACAATGCTCCTAAAGGCAAAATGAGATATGCAACACTTTTTAGTTTTCCTTTCCCAATAAATATCAATTTATAAACTCAGGACCCTTAGAGAAAGAAGATCAGGGCATCACTTATAGTCAAAGCAAAACCATGTGTATTGAGGTGTACATCAATGAGTTCCAACTACAAAAATAAAAATGTGGTATATCAATACCCAAACAACATTAACCAAAGTTTAAAGGCTTACGCTACGACATGCAGACTCTAATGTAATAACACATTGGGACTTTGTAGTAAATTGCACTTCAGTGGTAGTTCTAAGTAAGATGACATTCTTGTCCAATAAATGATTTGGAATAAGAGGATGAGAGTAGCCAACTAAATTCCAAGATGGATGATTACCTACTGTATGTCTGAATTCAGCTAATATATATTCCATTAGATATTCCACTATCTCCTTGCAAAGACTTCAAAATAATCCACGTTGCTCATCAGCAAATGCCTTTGCCTTGAACGTGTATTAGTTATGATGTTAGGATAATAATAAAGGACAATGTCCTCTATGATGAAACATCTACTCATTCCATTATATCAGAGGTGGTTGATTTGATTAAGTCATTTGAGAAACTGTGACTCAATTTTGGTTCCTCCTCCATATAAGTGTTTCAACTATCCATTTCAACTGCAGCAATCCATGTTTAAGCAGTGAAAGTATAGATTTTGGTATGAATGCAGACTGAAAATCTATGTCTTATAGCATTTAGTGGAGGACATACACTGTGGTTATTTTATTAACTCTTCTTTCTGCTGGTTAGTATGACTGGATTGTTTTATTATTATTACTTCTTTTTTATTATTTTATGGACTTTAAAGGATTCGTTGACTATTTCTAGGGACTAAAACATCAGGTATCAAAATATAAACAAAAATATTAGAAATTTAATTAGAGTCAAATGGGATCCACTTAGTCTGAACAAATTAGCCCAGAGTTTGGTTGCCTTTATTATGAAGAATCACATAGCACAGCAGATTGTTCATGAAAATGTAATAAATATGATGGTTACATTTGTTCTTTGCTGATGTTCTGTAAAAAGTATTCTAACAACATAAATAGGGCTACATTCCATGAATACACCAATTAGTTAAATGTACAAATTTGCAATCTTTCTGCTACATACAGCCATTCTGCTTTTTAGATCAGGCATGAAACCGAATGGCAGGAGTGGCTAGTCTGATCCCATAATGATAACAGGCAACCCAAAGAAATGATTGCCAGTTGCAATTTTTTGATATCCAAATGATTCCATTTCTGCCTGTTCTGTGATATCAACATTACTCATACAACTGCTTTTCAGGAGGGAAACTTTTAGCCAGTTCTGTTAGATTAAAGGATTAAGGTTTTCTCTAAATGATATATGCGGTGGAATAAATATACTATGGGTACTACTTCACTTTCTGGAGCGCAGATATATTCAAAACAAGTGGCATTTAGAGATCAAAACTCTGAGTAGCCCAGAGGAGGATGCAAGAGAAGGGATTATCCTGTCTTCAAAGCCTTTTTAGCTATTCATGGAATAAACTTGCAACAAGTTTATTGAAAATCATTTTAAATTTATTCATCACCTCTTTCTTCTTTGTTATCTAGCTTTGTTGTTTTCTTTGAATGGCTGTTGTTTTTGTTATTTGGGAGACATCTGCAGCGAGAAAAGAACCATTTGTCATCCACGATTACCTTCTGTAAATTTCTGCTCAACATCACCTTTTTCACAGGTATATCACCAAAGTTGCCACAGCAACAAAATTTAATAGTATAGGCAGCAGTGCAAAAATAATTTCTAAAAAAATCTTTAAGATCCTTCCTTACTCCATGTACAATAGTGAGTTGGCAGTAAATGACCAGGGGGAGGAGGGGGAGGGAAACAGCAAGTTTTGGAGACTATTTCTATTTTTAGATGTCTTTGCTGAGATGGCAGCTGGTCATTTTGTTGTTGTTGTTCTTCATTATCTAAGTTTTTATGAGTAAGTACAAATAAGAAGCAGGAAGATTGGCATATAACAAACTGCAGAATAAGAAAGTTATGCCTGAGCCAAAAATTAACTAGTAGGTTGCCATAATACTACTATCAAACTATGAGTAGCAGGAATAGCAATGGATGATTCTTTATCTTTGGAGACATACATTCTCCTAGATTCTCACATCTAAACTAGTAATTAAAAAGTAGTAAAGATATCAGCTGCCCTTAGTGAAAGTAGTTTTGAATGTCTCAGTGTAAAGTAGCCTTATTCTCCAAACAAGAAGTGTAAAGAAGAAAACCAGACATTCTAGGGATAGTGGAAGGAAGGAAGGAAAGAAGGAAGGAGACTAAACAAAACAATAACATTGTTTGCTTTCTAGATCAAATCCCTTTTACAATATTTTGATGCACATTTTGGGTAACAAGAAAATGCAATGAATGAGATCAACCACAAACTTTAAGCCAAAAGAGATAAATGAAATAATGATAAAAACACAGGAAGACAGAATGGCCTAACGGGAGATTGGTAGGTGTGGAGATCAACAATAGTTACAATATTAAAAAAAAAAAATGTTTACATACGAAGCAAACATTCTGATGTTGGGTTTTTTTTTTAGTCTGTGTTTTCAATGGCATGGCTATCCAACCTCATGGTTTACTATTTATTGTATATACAGATATGTTCGTGAAATCATCATCATGATTAAATGTGAGGGTTGGAGAAAAAAAAAAAACTTCCTTGAGGAGCATTGTAATACAGAGGAACAAATGAACCACAATAAATTACAAATTCATTCACATTCTCGCACACATACACTCTTTGGGCAAATACAGCTTTTAAACATTCCTTACCAGAAAAGTTCTTGCAGCAAAAGGAGGATCACAGGATATGCTTCAGGTCAGACTTTTTAGACTTGCTCTTTTCTTACCTGTATGGTCTCTTTCGGTCCATCTTTCCAGATTGAGGGAGGCCATTGCCACATTAATAACCAGGCTTAATGTACTATTCTGTCCTGCCCTCAATGCTCACATCAAAATAGCCATCACAGGACCCAATGCCCCCCATGCCAATAAAATCAAAAATGCAATAAATCAATTTCCTATAGTTTTACTATGATCTGTATTACAAACATACTTTTTCATTCAGGTTCACAAAAACAAGATAAAATACAAATAGCTTTAAAATTTTATTTTATATTATTTATTCAAACAACTGTGTACCACCTATTTGTATAGCTCTGGGCAGTTTACAGTAACAACAAAAATTACATCACACAGTAGAATCTAAATACTGTTAATCCAAACTCTGTAATATATAATCAAGGCCATCCTTCCTCACCATCCACAAGATAGTCTTTACCACCTTTCAAAATATGGAGGGAGGGAGGGGCTCATAAAACTCATAGGGCAGGTTTCATAATAGGAGGTTGCCACAGAAAAACAGCACTTATGGGTCCTCACCTCATCATCCTGATTGGCCAGTCAGGGTATTGCATTTTGGCCCAGTTACAGATTCTGAGTTAGTTTCATGGCCCAGGACTCAAAATCTGAAGAAGCAAAGCTGCTCTAGCTGAACCAGTGGAATGTCAGCCTCAGGAGACACCAAGGTAGGAACCACCAAGGCAGCATCAGAGCAGCTGAAGAAGCCAGATCATGAAGTACAGCCTCCAGGCCCCTAGAGTTGCTGAGCAGAGTGGAGAGTAGAGCACAGATGCTCAGTGAAGATCCTTGCCAAACAAGGGCATGCCTGTCTTAACTAAAAACAGCTGGCTGTAATCCTATTTAAGAGGCAGCTCTGACCCATATTTCCTGATGGAAATAACAGTCTTGATATCCTGTGTTTGGTGTGCTTTCTGCCTATGTAAGAAACCTGAAATTTCAACCATTGGACTGGCTGACAAACCTTGCTTGACTCTCTGAATCTCAGACTGAATCTTAATTACTCTTCTTCACTTTCCTGTGGAAAGTGAAATCTGCTCTGGCAAGCCTTATCTCCAGAAACTCTGATTTATGCTCCTTGTTTGCTGTTTACCTACTTAGCCTTGAGTTAATTGCTTACTGTTACTTAGTGATTGGGTGTATGTGAGAAACCTGAAGCAGGAGAGTTATCTTCAAAGGCAGCTGCATGTAGAGAATGTTGGTGTAGTCTAATCTCATGGTGATGAGGGTATGAGTCATTGTCATATGCCACTCCGGGTCCAGAAAGGCCTGGTATACCAACCAAAGCTGAGCAAAAGCCTT